CGCCCCAGGGGCAGGGCTGACACAGGGGCAGGGCTGACCCAGGGGCAGGGCCGACCCAGGGGCAGGACCGACCCAGAAGCAGGGCCGACCCAGGGAGCCGGACCCGGCAGGTAGGAAGCACAGCAGGGCTGTGGAGAGAGGGTGGCAAGCAGGGCCAAGCAGAGGAAACAGGTCAGCACCGACAAGGACACACTGAACGGCGACCAGGTCACGACTGAAAAGACACTGCAAGAGGGGGCAGACCTCCAGGGCAGAGGGTGAAACCCAGCTCAAAGCCCGAGCGAGCGATCCAAAGCCGCACCCACCCTGAGGCTGCCCACGAGCTCTCCTGCTCCCGCCCCACGGAACTCTCCCACTTCCCTGCTCCGGCCCCACGGAGCTCTCCCGATTCCCTGGCTCCCACCCCACGGAGCTCTCCCGATTCCCTGGCTCCCACCCCACGGAGCTCTCCCGATTCCCTGACTCCCACCCCACGGAGCTCTCCCGATTCCCTGGCTCCCACCCCACGGAGCTCTCCCGATTCCCTGGCTCCCATCCCACGGAGCTCTCCGGCTTCCCTGGCTCCTGCCCCCACAGAGCTCTCCTGCTTCCCTGCTCCAGCCCTGTCTTCTGTTTCTGTTACAAAAGAACAGAGTTTCACAAGGGGATGGATAGCCGGAAAGGGGGAAATGACACGCCCACTCCCCAACTTAACCGTGAGCCTGTGTGCTGGACTCAGCAAGGGGCACACTTAAGACTGGCCACACAGCAGCCCAGGCGCCTGCGTCTGTGCACCTCAACTCCCCTTCGCTGACCTACACAACGAAAGACAGACACGGTTCCTGACCCTGAAATGAACGACTTTTCGCAGATGGCATAATGGTTAAGGTGCTAGACTCCCACGTAGTGGACTGTGCTTGGAGTCCCGGACCCGGTGGCTTAAAACTCACGCCAGGCACATGTGCACACATGCCCAAAATCCCGAGAGGAGAATGGAAGAGAAGAGACTGTAGCGTGGCCATCTCCCCCTGGGGGGTGATTTCTCGCTTCCTGTCTGTCTCTCTGTTTCTCCAGCCAGAGCACGCACCCTATACCAAAAATCCCTCTTAAAAAAAAATAAAAAATAAAATGAAAGATTTTCATGTACCGCACAGACTGAGAACAGCCACCATCTGGCGCTAACCCCACTGAGGCGTTTCTCTCCCAGGAAGGGGAGCTGGTGGCTCCATCCAGGCAGTGGCCCACAGTGTGACCGGCCCCTGACTGCCCATGAGCCCGGCTCTCACGGGCCCCTGACCACCCACGAGCCCAGCTCTTACCGGCCCCTTTGGCGTGCACGACTCTCTCGGGGATTCGCTCTCGGTCGAAGTGAGCCATCTCATCGGTGAACACCACGTCCTGAACGAGGAGGGGTCCGCGGGGCCCCGCAGTCATGGAGTTGAGCTTGTCTCCTACCGGGTTGCCAGCTCCCGTGGTCAGGACCTCCGGTTTCTACAGGACAGAAAGATGGGGTCAGTGCGCCGAATGCAGACAGGGTGCACGACCTTGTAGACGCCTGTGTCCACAGTACTGAGAGCTGACCACAGAAGCTAAAACTGCCAGGTGGGTCCCTGAGAGGCCCCGATACCCTCGATGACAACCTGCAGGAAATTCGCTCTGAAAGCAGAGACTGGCCGGGCCTCAGGTGCTCAGCACCTGCTTAGATAGGCTCTAGGCCCCACCAGAAGCCCGCCAGGGAGCCCAAAGGGAAGCGAGCCTCACGCCAAGAGTCTGAGCTCATGGGGGAGAAGGTCCCAGGGATGCTCGGGGGGTCCATGCTCTCCTCAGACCCTGGAGCACTCTGTCCCTGTTGGTATCTGGCGCCACCCTGCCCGCGCTCACCGCCGCCCTGCCCACATTCAGTGCCACCCTGCCCGCGCTCACCGCTGCCCTCCCCGCGCTCACCGCCGCCGTGCCCCCGTTCACCAACGCCCTGCCCGCATTCAGTGCCACACTGTCCAGGCTCCCCGCCACCCTGCCCGCGCTCACCGCCGCCCTGCCCGCGCTCACCGCTGCCCTGCCTGCGCTCACCACCCTGCCCACGCTCACCGCCGCCCTGCCCGCATGTACGTGCCCTCCTGCCGCATTTGCGCACACCACCCTTCAAAGCCACCCATCCTCTGCACAAGAGACTATTCACAGCTTATCTTCGCCCAAAACCGCCAAAGGCCTTTGTTGTCACGGAAAGTAAACCGTAACCATTAGTGGTAAAGTGGGTTGCAGTATTCCTGTCTGCAGGTGTCACATGTCTCTGCGATGAGATGGCGTCCTTAGGACTGAGAACTAGTTTCAGACCGCCTAATCTCCAGTGTCAGCTGCATCAGAAGTCTCTCGGTGTCTCCACTGGGTGGGAGCCGCACGTGGCACTGGGATGCTCTGGCCTCGCCTCGTCCCATGGCCACACAGTATTCTGAGCACAGACAACTGCCTACCCAGTGTTTTCCAGTCCCTGGGGAGTCAGGAGAGGCATGAGTGGAGCGAAGCAAAGCTCCCTCAGTCCTGGGACAGCTCACAGTGTCCCCGGCGAAGCTCTGCAACCCCACACGGTGAGAAAGCTTGTCCACACGCCTGCAGCCCTGGAGCGCTCTGTCCCTGGCTGCCCACTGCCCACAGCACACTGCCCGTGTGCGGACCCTGACACCTGCCTCCTCTGGGGACAGGCTAAGGAGCAGTGCGTCCTCAACCACAGGCTGGGAACCGTCTGAAAACCGGCACCGCATACAGGAGACCTTGGTCTGCGAGGCTGGCACCCAGGGCTCTCACCCACATGCCACCCCCCGTGGAAGGCCCTGCAGTCCGAGGGAGCAGCAGGAGGCTGGCAGAGCCAGTCGGGTCTCCAGCCCGGCCAATTTTACCGATTTTATCATCTGCGTGGCCATCGGCATGCCACTCCCTCCCCACTCGGCTTTTCATCTGCAAAATGGGCAGAAACTACCTCCCGGCGAGGAGACGCGGCTCGGGGGAGTGAAAGGCACAGCAGTGCGGCTGTGCACCGACGCTGCCACCTCGCCCGCCTCGGGGCTTCCCGGTAACCAGGACAGCGTTCACGCCTCCCAGCCTCCCTCCCGAAAACCGCATCAGACACTTGGAACCTGGCGGGTCCGGGCGGCACGTACCACCCAGACACACCACTCTCCGTGGCTGACATGCGCCCCGTGTGGTTTTCACAGTAATGAACACATCAGAAAAAACGAAACTGCCCGGCTCTCCCTTCCTGGTGAACCCAGTCTCGGTCACCCTCACTGTCCACTGGACGCGCGTGGGAGCCCCCAGGGGAGGCCCGGCAGTTTCCAGGCTCCCCAGGTGCTGGAGGGGCCATCAGAGAAGAGGAACGACTAAATGACAGGCAGAACTGACGGCAAGGGCAGGTGCCGGGCGTGGCTAGGGTGAAATGACAGTGTCCCGGAGTTTCTAAATGAAACGAGCGGGTGGGGCTGGGCAGGGAGCCGCCAGGTTCTCCTGTACGCCAGTAATCCATAATCCGGAGGGATAAACAGCACCGATCCACTCACTGCACACGCCGAGCCTGAGGAAGCTCCACGCCGACCTCAGTGTTAGACACGGTCTGCGGGTCGCGGGTCGCAGATCGCAGCTTGCAGGGATAAAGGGCTCCGAGCGCCCTCCTCCCTGGAGTTCCCATTTCTGTCTCAGTGAAAGACCGTTCTAGAAGTAAAACATGGCGCAGGGTGCATGCCTCCCCAAGGGACACAGGAGAAAGCCGCCTGGGTGGGGCATGGTCGCCCCACAATCCTGGACCCACACACCCATGTGCCCGCCCAGTTTTCCAAGCCATCAGGGCCAAGATTCAAACTGCAGTCAGCACATGGGACGTCTCCCTTAACCACCGGCTACGAGGTGACTCAGGGCCAGAACGTCTTCCAGACAGGATGGCTCTCCTGCCACGGACGGCTACGGCTCTAAGGGGGCTGTTGGGAAGGCGGGCTCTGCGGGCAGTGACACGCCAGCCCCTCCCGGGTGCCGGTCACCACAACCCCACGCGTGCCTCCCCTGACCTGCTCTCCCGCGCTGCACACGGGCCGGGCCCAGGCAGCGTCTTGTGCTGCAGACAACAGAACATCATAGCTGCCTTCCCTTCACGGGCTCGCCTCCCACTGTACTCCTCTGCCGTCTAAGGCTCTGACACCAGACGCGACCCAGCACACCCACAAATGCAGCACGAGTGCACGTGGGCTCCACGTGCAAATAAACCAAGCCACGGCCCCAGTGGGACGGCCAGGAAAGATTCTCTCCAAG